TAAAGTTCCTGGGGATTTGTTAGTGCCCTCCTTAACTCTCATGACAATTCTCCTTCTCTTACTTGAGAAGGGAGTGTTTGTGATCATCTGACCTGTTCTAGGGAACTGTCCATGCGTTTTATAGATATTTTGGAAAATTCTTTTTAAAATATTGATGTTTTGGCTGGGCGCGGTGGCTCAAGCCTGTAATCCCAGCACTTTGGGAGGCCGAGACGGGCGGATCACGAGGTCAGAAGATCGAGACCATCCTGGCTAACACGGTGAAACCCTGTCTCTACTAAAAAATACGAAAAACTAGCCGGGCGAGGTGGCGGGTGCCTGCTTAGTCCCAGCTACTCAGGAGGCTGAGGCAGGAGATGGTGTGAACCGGGAGGCGGAGCTTGCAGTGAGCTGAGATCCGGCCACTGCACCCCAGCCTTGGCGACAGAGCGAGATTCCGTCTCAAAAAAAAAAAAAAATATGTGCTATATATATATATTTTCTTGTTAATAATTAATGTTTAGAAATGTAAACTAGAATTTTTCAAGTATTCTATGCTATCACGATTCTAAATTTACTGTTGGTATATGACCTTCTCCCATAAGTTAAATTAGCTCAAGTGGCTGAATAGTTCTCCTTCATTCAGCGAAGGAGAGATTAAAAGAGGTAATATTTCTGAGTGGTGGAGGGGCCTGCTTAAAAAAAAAAAAAAGCAAATATTTATATAGGCAGTAGATATGTAATGAATTGCTCCATATCAGAAAACTTTGGAAATTAAGAGGTTTTTCTGACCTCTTGTGGAAGTCTCATTAAAAATGGCAAGAAATTAAAGAACTTTTAGAAGCTTTGCTATTACCTAAGGGGGTAGCCATACAATAAAATGGAGATTCATTCAAAGTCTGATAACCCGGAATCCTGAGGAAATAATTTACCACCATGCTAAACAAGTAGCACTAACCAAAGCAGTTGCCATACTGATGGTTTGTAAATACATTCTAGTCATTGTCTGCTTATCTCCAGAATGGATTGAGGATATTCCTGATAGACAGCCAAGGTTTTGCTGATAAAATTGCCTGACTGTTATTCTGGACTTAAGGAATTCCAACGTGTTCTTCAGTGATTGGGTGGTGGGGGTGTGTGTGGCACACGTTTCCCGTGACTGTTATATAAAAAGCTCCAAAATGCCTTTTAACAATAATAAACACACTTGCTGTACCAAATGAATATTTAGAACAGTTAGAAAAAAAATGAATTCTAACACTAAATTTGAGAATGCTCTGCAAAACTTGAACTTCCATGGCTTGGGAATTGCTAATTAGCCTCAGTGGCAATATCAACTCCTTCTGGGATCCATAGGCTACTCCATGCAGTTAGGAATTCACTTCTTGAACCTGTACTCTGCCATATCACAAGCTCACATTTCTAAATACTACAAAGGATTCATTTGATGCATCTAGCTTTTAATAGGTAGCAACAATCTTCCCCAAATAGCCATCTAATTAGTCTCTGTATGACTAGAAATCTGAAGATTTAGTCTTTTGGAAAAGACTTCTGAAAAGCAGAGGAAAAACTACCCTTGTCCTCAATGGAAAGGAATTCACTGAGGAACCATAAACTGAGGATTCTTAAGTATCTTCCAGAAGAATGATCTTCGGAAGAAGACGACCAAACCAGTATCTTCAGATCAAGCTGTTGATGATACCGAGTAGACACTTTCGCCCAAGACAATAAAACAAGATACATGTTCTGGTATCTTTGCCTTCCTTTAAAAATTTTGCTCTGGTTATCAAAGTGCCTAGTTGTCCCCTAGAGGCCAACCAACAGTTTTTAAGATTCTTTCACAAATTATATTTTATCTTAATCTTCTGTAGTACAGAATTTCCATGCCACCTAAGGAAAGGCAAAACTTTCTTGTGCTTTTTTTTGCAGACTATAGCTATTGTTTTTAAATTTTTATCATTATATTTTAAGAGACAGGGTCTTGCTCTGTCACCCAGGCTGTAGTGCTGTGATACTAACTCACTGCAGGCTCAAGCAATTTTCCCACCTCAGCCTCCCGAATAACTGGGACTACCGTTGTACAGCACCTCACCTGGCTATTTTTTTTAGTTTTTAGTAAAGACGAAGTCTTGCTTTGTTGCCCGATCTGGTCTCAAAATCTTGGCTTATCCCCCACCCCCAACCCCCTGCCCTGGCCTCCCAAAGTGCTAGGATTACAGGCATGAGTCGCCACTCCCTGATTTATTGTTTTAAATCTAACTGACTAATGCAGTTTTTATCCTCTACCTGATTCCACTAACAAAAATTTAATAGGTATTCAACACTTCAAAAGGTAGATTTTCTTCTATAGGTTTCTTCTGGAATTTGAATTTTGTTGACAGTATTAATTTTTACCTTCAGTTTTATCAGTATTGAACACTGACCTGAAACAACAAAGGATGTCTGCTGACATTATTGCAATAGTGTATTGAGTCTCTCCTTGCAGTGCTAGTCCTTAATCTTCAGTGACTCCCCAGCCTCCACTCAAGCTATGTTCACATGTTGAAGAATTAATTGTCCTGCTCTCACTGTGATAAATGACACTTACACACCCCATACCCCTTTCAGTTTGTGCAGCACTAAGTCACTACTTTTTATGTGGATATCAGGTCACCTGATCATTATACAAACTTATCTAGTGTAATATGGAGTGAGCTTTAGACTATTATATTAATAATATTTTTCAATATTTTAAACATCTACTCCTATAGGAAATGATGTTTCTCTGAGAAAGGTACCCAGACCTAAAATGAGGCAAGTATGGACTATTCAGGAGACCTTCCAGGAGAGATGACCGACTCCCTCTTCATCTATACTCTGGGAGCTCCAATTCCAGTAATAGGAATAATATGACTAGAAAAGGTGATCCAAAATGTGTCTCTGGTCCCAGCAGAAATCAATAGATGACACTACTTCTTTTCTGGAGGTCCAGCAACCTAGCTTAAAGTTTCATGGTGGTTTTGAATGATTTCATAGTTTTTGGTTTCTTCTTGGCTAGCCAAGGACAGCTTTTGTTTGATAGCAAATGCTGTTTGCAGCACCCACCTAAAACATTACTGTTCAGGCAGAACAGTTTTATGGCAAAGTTAAAAGACTACCTGTCTCTCTAGAACAGATTCAGATGGAGTTGGGACATGATTTCATGGTCTGGTTTTGAAATCTAGTTATTTGTTTTTGCAACCTATTGCTAGGATTAATAGCTATTTTGTTTCCATTACTTACCTGAATTTCACTAGTACATCTTGTTCAGCCTTAAATGCTACTGTGCAGTCATTATACATTCACTATGTATCTTTTGCAAAAAATGTACATGAGGGACCAACTGTATGCAGATGCAGAGAACGTTCTCCGGATAAACTTGTGACAAGTGGATTCTGACAGTGGTGTAGATCTGAACCCCCAGATGAAAGTCCTTGGCCGGGCGCGGTGACTCAAGCCTGTAATCCCAGCACTTTGGGAGGCCGAGACGGGCGGATCACGAGGTCAGGAGATCGAGACCATCCTGGCTAACACAGTGAAACCCCGTCTCTACTAAAAAATACAAAAAACTAGCCGGGCGAGGTGGCGGGCGCCTGTAATCCCAGCTACTCAGGAGGCTGAGGCAGGAGAATGGCGTAAATCCGGGAGGCGGAGCTTGCAGTGAGCCGAGATCCGGTCACTGCACTCCAGCCTGGGCGACAGAGCGAGACTCCGCCTCAAAAAAAAAAAAAAAAAAAAAGAAAGTCCTGATGGCTGACTTTGTCTTTGGTCAAAAGGGGAGGCTGAAGAGTGAAAAAGCACCTAGGAACTTGTAGTTGGGAGCTGAGAGGCATAGTTGAATCTTCCCTACCAAACATAAACATCTCCTGCTAAATACTTTAACCAGTCAAGGTTGCTCAGTGATTGTCACGCAACAAGATGTAGAAAGTCCATCTGTAACTACATTTGAAACCAGAGAGAGAGAACATTCTGCAATGAAGGCCACATTAATCTCTTTACTTCCCTTCCTAGATAAATTTACCAGGATCATCACCAAATTGCCCCATTTTAGAAAACTGGCCCCTACTCCCTAAACACTTCTTAGATTCACCTATTCAACTTCTACAATCAGCTCCCTACAACACTCTTCTGTTTGTCTGAAGTTTATTTTCCTATGTTGTTTGCTCTCCCTTGATGCAGCACACCAAACTCCGTCTTGTTGGAATACACCATGTGGTCATTGGGTGACTGCCAGCACCTGTGCAAATCTAGGGAGCCCATTTGGAGACTTCCTGCACCTCTATCTTTCAGCCCCTGCCCTGGTTCATACCCAGTAGATCTGCTCCCAAATCCTTTGGATTTAGAGTGAAGAAATATTTTGATTCCGGGGCATTAGAAAGGCAAGCACTAATCAAATAAGATTAAGTTTGGCATGAAGGGATTAAGCTCAGAACAGATAATTACTTAGAATGAATTATCCTGGGAAGAGCTACCGGGATTGTACACTCACCCTAAGGTAGTTCAAGGGGCAGGTTGTTGGGTTCCTATGTTAAGGACAGAGCCTAGGCCCTCCCTCACTTTTCCAAGTCTTTTGCTAACCAATTTCTTGGACTTGTCTTTATTCTGTATCAGGTCGGAGTAGAGCATGGACATGGGAACTAGTGCTCTCAGCAAGAAGCCATGGTGGACCCTGCCTGAAAACTTTCATGCTCCAATGGTGTTCCACATGGAAGAGGACCAGGAGGAGCTCATCTTTGGTGAGTGGCCCTTGCTAACGTCCCTGCCTTAATCCTTGTCTTCTCGGTTTTCAATCTTTTCCTCCTTTTCCACCTTCATCAGTCACACATCCGTTCCCCCAAGGCCACCTCCCGACTCCCCAAGGGCTGGTGCTTGACAGACCCTCCTCTCACCTCTTATGCTCACAGGGCACGGTGACACATACCTTCGCTGCATTGAGGTGCACAGCCACACCCTTATTCAGCTGGAGAGTTGGTTCACAGCTACAGGCCAGACTCGTGTGACTGTAGTCGGACCACATAGGGCAAGGCAGTGGCTGCTGCACATGTTCTGTTGCGTGGGGAGCCAGGACTCCTATCATCATGCTCGAGGTAGGTATTCTTGGCTGAACTGTGGTTTTGGACTTGGTGGTGGAGTTCTGGCTAAGTTGTGTGGTATCTTGGATTCTTGAAGAATCCCTTTGTGGCTGGGGAATCCAGGTACTTCCCAGAGTCCATTGGGAAGAAAAGTGCTCATTTTTTTGTGGCATGAGATTGCTTAAGGTGGAGAAGGTAGCTGGGAGGTGTAAATGGGTTACCTTGGAAGGCCTGGGCTGGGGTGACATCCTCCCTGCCGCCTCCCTGATGGAGTCCAGGCCCCCCAATGGGCCCTAGTTATGGGCCCTGGTTCATTAGCCCTGGGCACATCTTTTGCAGGCCTGGAGATGCTGGAACATGTCCGAAGCCAGCCCCTGACCAATGATGACCTGGTCACTTCCATTAGCGTGCCACCGTACACTGGAGACCTGTCTTTGGCTCCCAGGATAAGTGGAACCATCTGTCTTAGCGTTCCTCAGCCTTCCCCTTACCAAGTGATTGGTTGTTCGGGATTCCATTTGAGTTCACTGTATCCGTAATTAAGGACTGATCTCCTCTGGGAAGCGGGGATGACAGGAGAAGTCTTGGCTTCGCTTTTGGTGAGAAAGACATGAAAGACACTGAAGAAAGTTTGAATTTGTGGCTGGGACCTGTCCCTCTCAGGTCTTGTAGACATGTGTCTGAGGGAAGTCTCCCGAATGTAAGAAAGTGTTATTGGCAAAGCAATCCAATAAAATAAGCTACCTGTGATGCAAAGCCTTCGATGTGCTGTCCTCTTTCCTTAGGATGAACTTATTCACCCCCAGGATTTTCCTGGACCTTGAAGTGCAGACAAATGGGGAGAACGGAAAGGTGGGTGGAAGGGTCCAGATAGAGATGGAAAGTGTTCCCACCCCAACTACCTGGTGAAGTGGCAACCAGGGAATCTGGTGAACATGAGGTAGCCAGCATTGTCCCTGATTGCCCAAGTTTGTGGGTGGGGGTGGAGGGGGTGGTTTTCAGGGAGCAATGGGTTTTGAAGTCCCTCATGCCATGAATTAAATACGAAGGATTCCTGAAACTCCATTGAAGAACGTTTTCTGATTGCCAAGTCTATATATGGATCTCTCTAGGCAAGATTATGGCAAGCTAAACCTGTCCTCAGTAGAACTCTTCCTCTTCAAATTTGCCCCTTCTCCAGCAGCCTGTATCTTAATAATGAGGCAATTGCAGTACCCTAGGAGAGTGACGATGGTGACTTGGACCAGAGTGGAGTGGCTGAAGTGTTAGGAAGTGGTTGAATTTGGAACATAATTTGAAGCCAGCAAGATTTACTAATTACATGGTTTTCACAAGGCCAATTGCCAAATAAAAGTTAAAATATATTCACAGTAGAAAAACACTTAGAGAAAATGTTGAAAGAATTCAGGTTATAGTAGTTGAATACTATGGCTCATGCTTGTAATCCTAGCACTTTGGGAGGCCAAGAAGGGGTCAGGTGTTGGAGGCCAGCCTGGGTAACATGGTGAAACCCTGTCTCACCCAAGAACACAAAAAATTAACCTGGTGTGGTGGCACACACCTGTCATCCCAGCTGCTTAAAGTGGGCACTGGGGTTGCAGCATTGCTTGAGCCTGGGAGGCGGAGGTTGCAGTAAGCCAAGATCATGCCACCACACTCCAGCATAGGCGACAGAGTGAGACTCTGTCTCAAAAAAGAAAAAAAAAAAAAAAAATTCAGGTTTATAGACTGTCATACAGACTGCCAAAATAAATTGTCTACACATAATGGCCACTTTTTTCTTTCTAGAAGTGAATTGTTCAGTTAGTCCTGAGGCCTAGCCCAGTGCCTTAATAATTATTTGTTGAAAAATGAATGAAAGTCTTTTTAATGGCTAGGAATGTATTCTAATATTGAAATAAAAAGAACCTGTAAAGGAGTGAAGCACATTCTAACTTGCTAGGCATAAAAAGATAAATGTATATCCCTGACCTTTGGACAATAATCAACATTGCTTTTACTAAAAATTTCCTAGGGAAAAATCTCATGATTGTCAAGGGTACCATAGTATTTCTAACTCCAATCAAACTTCTGGCAAAAGATCTGTGTATACTTTAGTACAGTTTAAGGAGTCTGAGCCGACGTTTTCTTTCTTTCTCTCTCTCTCTCTTTCTTTCTTTAGATGGAATCTTGCTCTGTCGCCCAGGCTGGAGTGCAGTGGCATGATCTCAGCTCACTGCAACCCCTGTCTCCCAGGTTCAAGCGAGTCTCATGCCTCAGTCTCCCTGGGATTACAGTGGGATTACAAGCATGCCACCACGCCCGGCTAATATGTTGTAGTTTTAGTACAGATGAGGTTTTGCCATCTTGGCCAGGCTGGTCTCGGGCTATTGGCCTCAAGTGATCCACCCGCCTCAACCTCCCAAAGTGCTGGGATTACAGGCGTGAGCCACTGCGCCCAACCGAGCTGTCATTTTCTAATGACCTATAAGCAATGATCCCACTGAAGGATCCCTGTCTGAAGCATTTTCTTGGGGAAACTGGAGAAAAAAAAAAAGATCGAAAACAACCACAACAGGCTGGGTGCGATGGCTCACACCTGTAATCCTAGCACTTTGGGAGGCTGAGGCAGGCAGATCACTTGAGGTCAGGAGTTCGAGACCACCTGGCCAACATGACAAAAACCTGTCTCTATGAAAAATACAAAAATTAGCTGGGTGTGGCAGTGGATGCCTGTAATCTCAGCTACTCAGGAGGCTGAGGCATGAGAAACACTTAAACCTGGGAGGCAGAGGTTGCCGTGACCCAAGATCATGCTACTGCACGTCAGCCTGGGAGACAGTGAGACTCCATCTCAGAAACAAACAAAACAAAGCAAAAAACACCAAAAAACCAAGAATGATGCTAAATGAATTTGTGTGTGTGTGTACGTGTGTGTTTTGCTACCATATTTTCTGTTCAATAGGGTCAATATTTATTTTCTCATAGAGAATGTCCTCTGAAGCCTTAAGATATGTTCTCTATGTGGAACTACTTTTTATTATACTGAACCAATAATTGAATATCAGCTGTGTCATTTTCATTTAAATGTAAAATTTTGTTTTTTGAATATATAATTTCTTTATTGGGTTAAAAATTTGAAAAATGCTTTTAGTGAAAAAGATACCCTCCAAATCCTGTCCTTCAGCTATACAGTATCATTTCTTGTAGGAAATCTGTTTCGAATTCCTTGTATACCCTTGGTTCTCAGATAAATACACATATACAATTTTTCTTTTTTATATACAGATTGCATCATACAATATACTCTTTAGAACCTTGCCTTTTTAAAAACTTAACAATAGGTCTTGCAGATGGTTGCATTTTAGAGCAGAAACACTTTCTCATAATTTCTTATAGCTATATAGTTTTCCATTGTATGGATATAGCATTCAACCCATTCCATATGGATTGGCTTTTAGGTCATTTCCAACCTTATGTTGTAACAAACTATACTGCAGCACTGCAGTGTGTATATGTCATTTTGCACATGTGTGAATATATCTGTGGGATAAATTATTAAAAGTACATTAAGGGATATAGCCAAGTTTCCTTCCTAATTGTTGACAATTTATACTTCTACCACATGTGTATGAGCATCTTATTTCCTTACACTCTCACCAATAATATCAAATATTTTTAATTTTTTCAGTCTTATCAATAGATGAAAAATGGTTTCTTAGTGCTGTTTTAACTTGCATTTATCTTATTACGTGTGGCACTGAATATCTTCTTATTGGATTCCCATATGTGCTTCCCAATGCCTTTTCATTCATATGTATAGACAATTTATATTGTACTTTCTGTGACCTGTCTATTTAGGCTGTTGTCCATCAAGTTGTTATTGATTTGTAGTACCTCTTGATATATTATAAACATTAGTGTTTTGTTTGTAAAATAAGCCACAAATATTTCTTTCCAGTATGTCCTTTGTTTTTTACATTGTTTGGGTGGTACTTGCTATGTAGATTTTTAATGTCTATGAGGTGAATTCATGAATCTTTTTAAGTTTATTGCCTCTGGATTTTGTTTAGTTCTTAGGAATGTCCTCCTTGTCCCAAATATAAATATCTTGGTATATTTCCCTCCTGGCATCCGGTTTTAGGTTTTCTCTTTCTTTCATATTTAAATACGATTCTTTTATCTTTTTTTTTTTTTTTTGAGATGGAGTCTCCGCTCTCTTTGCCAGGGCTGGATGGCATGCCGGACTGAGCTCACTGCACTCCGCCTCCGGGTTACGCCCATTCCTTGCCTCAGCCTCCCGAGAGCTGGGACTCACAGGCGCCGCCACCCTCGCCCAGCTAGTCTTTTTGTATTTTCTTAGTAGAGACCGGGTTTCACTGTCTGTCACGCCAGGATGGTCTCGATCTCCTGATCTCGTGATCCGCCCGTCTCGGCCTCCCAAAGTGCTGGGATTACAGGCTTGAGCCACCGCGCCCGACCTAAATAGTATTCTTTAAATGTATTCTTGAGATGTGATTTGATTTAGGTCGTTAAGTATGGATCAAATGAATTTCTGTTATTTTTATTTTATATATATATATCTTTTTATTATACTTTAAGTTCTAGGGTACATGTGCACAACACGCAGGTTTGTTACATATGTATACATGTGTCATGTTGGTGTGCTGCACCCATCAACTCGTCAGCAACCTTCAACTCGTCATTTACATCAGGTGTAACTCTCAGGATATATATATATTTTTAATGTAATTTTATTATTTTCTGAAGACAGAGCCTCTGTCACCCAGGCTGGAGTGCGGTAGTATGATCATAGTTCACAGCAGCCTCAAACTCTTGGGCTGCAGTTATGTTCCCACCTCAGCCTCCTGAGTAGCTGGGATTACAGTTGCACACCACCAAGCCTGCATAATTGTTATAGTTTTTGCAGACAAGGGATTTCACCAGTTGGCCAGGCTGGTCTTGGACTCCTGAGCTCAAGTGATCTGCCCACCTTGGCCTCCCAAAATGCTGGGATTACATTTGTGAACCTCTGT